CATGGGTGAACAGTCACCGAGCGACAAGGTCAGGTGAACAGTCACCGAGCGACAAGGTCAGATGAATAGTCACCGAGCGACGAGGGTGAACAGTCACTGAGCGACGAGAGTGAACAGTTGCCGAGCGACGAGAGTGACCTGCTCACAGTCGCTCACTTCCGGCCAGCGGGCGTCACGTGGTATCTGCGGGTGTAAGCGCCTCGTTGAGGAAGTCCTTCCTCGCTCCGCTCGTTCAAAACAGGCGGAAATCTCGAGAAGGCAGGACGAAGAGGCCGAGATAGCACGTACAAAGAGGCCGAGATACCACGTACAAAGAGGAAGCCCAGGAAGCTGAGGATCTGACGCGTGCTAGATACCCCGCGGTATCTGCGGCACGCACGTGCGTAAACGCGTCGAAGGATCGCTTGAAATTACTGTTGAAGGTGCCGTCTGACCAGGCTTGACAATCAGCCGTGATCTGGTCTCTGGTATATGACGCGTCTGACCAGCATAAAATCGATGCCGAAGTCTGACGAAGTTAATTTGTATAGTGTAAGTTCAAATATGGTTAGGACTGAAACATATCCCACGAAGCGATTGAAAGACAAGATGTGGACATGGATAGACAAAGAAATAAAAAATGGTAGAATGACGGAGTATCGAATAAAAGTTCGAAACCGAAAGAGATCAATCGTAAAATGAAGACCGAACAGCGTGCGGTGGGTTTGCATATCAAAGTTAAAGTTATAAAAATTAAGCTACCAGAGCAGAATAGGCCGGACAGGAAACCCATCGACGTTATGCTAATGCTCAGCCGGGGTCTACAACCGAACGCAAAACGGGTCAGTCCGCAGTTATTCTCGGGATACGCGTAGAAAACAAAATCGCATTATGATCGCTAAACGGATTCTGAATTTCAATTCGGGTGCACTGCTTACGTGAAATCCAGTCCACTGGTGGGTTGCATGCACACCGCATGCTTCCCAAAAACTTTTCTAGTTTAGGCTTTCGTTCCATTTCTCAATTTTTTTGCGTTGATGCATACTATATTAGTCATCTGCCATGGCATACACTTGCGTTTAGATATCTTTCTTGTTGATGTTCATACCTGTCAATAGTTGCCCCAGATTATTTCCGTTCCCCTGTATTACATTTCATTATTTTGAATCAGCTGTTTTGCCGACAACCAAGCTTTCAATCACCAAACGAATTTAACACTACATGTTACGATATGGCCAGGAACGGTTTTACCCCTTTCTGACACTGCGCCACACTGAACCCAGTTCAGATATCTCAATTAAGGCCAATTATAAAGAATTGCCTGGCATGACAACAGTCCCCATATAGCTTAAGTCGTCTTTTGTGTCAAAAAGTGTCAAATGGTTGCAAAGTTGTCAAAAAATTTTAATCTGATGGATGAACATTAAACCCTTTTCAGGACCTAACAATACCTGACATGACCGGGGAGTTGACTGGCCAAAACTAATAAACTAGACGCGGAAGATAGGCCGAACGTATGTTCAAATCGTGATTCTGTGCCTCGTCTCAGTGTGTCCATAATACTATTTCATATCGACATCAAAACTGACGTTGATGCCACCACTGCAATGTTCTCCGAGCCGTCAAACTCAGAATTAGCGATGCAACTAACGTGCAATCGGGGCTTTACGACACAACCAGTCGGTGATGCCAAATGACGTTGGGGATTTTCGACACAATCAGTCACTGATGCCAAATGTCATCGGCGATTTACGACACAATCAGTCACTGATGTGAAATGGCATTGCCTGCGGCTTTCCTGAAAGGAGCGTGCATCGCGGGAAAAGAAACCCATAGCGATTTTATTTGAAGGTGATAGAATATGTAGACTGTTACCTATTTACGCACTCTACGGGGTCTTTTCAAACTTCATAAACATCTACATCTTCAAGTCAATAACACCTGCATGATCACCACCTTACCAACACTGATCACGTTCATGGCGTTACCTATGCTGACCACGTTGTGTGGCGACGGTGCCCGTCATCAGCTGCTCAGATGTGACCACACCGCAGCGGGGGGGGGGGGGGGGGGGGGGGGGGCGTGCTTTCGGGACACATGGCACATGCGAGACTGACGCCGAGAGCTCAGCCACAGCTGCCCACTAACCGGACCAGCTTCTGCCGGCTGCTGCCAGCTGCTGCCAGCAGACCGGCTGCCCACTAACCAGGAGGCTCATACCTGAAGCACGTTGTTGACCTTGTCGGTCTGAACCATTTTCCAGATCCAGTGGGGCACGTAGAAGCTGATAGCCTGCAGGAAGAGCACGTACGGCACCCACATGTAGTAGTTGTGGTACTTGGTCTCTGTGTCGGGCGTGGACGGCCCCAGGCCCTTGTGGGCCACTTCCAGACCCGCCTGCGGGCACACACAGTCAGCTGTCAGAGGGCAGCCGGGTCATGTGGGTCTCAGATGTACGGGATGTTCCCTCTGCCAAAGCTCAGAGGGAACATCCCGTACAAAATGTAGGGGGGTACAACGCAAGCATCAACAGCTCCGAGCGTCCAAGAAATGCTGGTGTAACTGAGGCTTTTAACTGAAAATGTAGCTAGTTGAAGCACTTGGTGCATGCTGTAAGCGAATAACTCAGATGGTTGACCATGAGCACTGACCCTAGTAAATGTCGTTCAGTAGGCGGTTTTTTTGTGAACTTGTGTGCAAATGCACGTACCAGAGGCCTTCATGGGCTCGGCAATCCATGGGGTGCCAGTTTGAAATTGGTCACGGGATGTGTTGAGCTATAAATTTTATGAGAAGTAGGGGTATGGGTGAGGGTACGTATGGACAATACGTTCACGAAATCTCCGATAAACACTTCGGGAAAACTACGCAGTCATATTCCTTGCGCTTGTTCCAGTTATTATCAGTTTGATTCACTCTGATTTTGTAGTCATCGCATGAAGGTAAGCCTGGGTGTAAAATGTCCTGAAATTATGCCATAATTTAATACGTCAGCATTGAAAAATGCAATCAGCTCAATAACGGATCGGTACAAGTAATAAGGATGGGAGCAGGAGCGACAGTGGGTATGGGCACTGCCTCATGGGCAGCCGGTAGCTTTTGTTAAGGAAATGTAACCTGTGGAGGCATCTAACACGAACAATCCGCATGAAAAACGTTACGCTAGATATTTTGAGCGTTGACATGCCCCTCGCATGTCAGGCTCAGAAACTGGCCGGTGCGCCGTTAGTGTCGCATGTCAGGCTCAGAAACTGGCCGGTGCGCCGCTAGTGTCGCATGTCAGGCTCAGAAACTGGCCGGTGCGCCGTTAGTGTCGCATGTCAGGCTCAGAAACTGGCCGGTGCGCCGCTAGTGTCGCATGTCAGGCTCAGAAACTGGCTGGTGTGCCGCTAGTGTCGCATGTCAGGCTCAGAAACTGGCCGGTGCGCCGCTAGTGTCGCATGTCAGGCTCAAAACTGGCCGTGTGCCGCTAGTGTCGCATGTCAGGCTCAGAAACTGGCTGGGTGTGCCGCTAGTGTCGCATGTCAGGCTCAGAAACTGGCCGTGCGCCGCTAGTGTCGCATGTCAGGCTCAGAAGCTGGCTGGTGCGCGCTAGTGTCGCATGTCAGGCTCAGAAACTGGCCGGTGCGCAGCTAGTGTCGCATGTCACTCAGAAGCTGGTTGGTGCGCCGCTAGTGTCGCGTGTCAGACTCAGAACTGGCCGTGGCGAGGTAGTGTCGCATGTCAGGCTCAGAAGCTGGCCGGTGAGCCGCTAGTGTCGCATGTCAGGCTCAGAAACTGGCCGGTGCGCAGCTAGTGTCGCATGTCAGGACTCAGAAGCTGGCTGGTGAGCCGCTAGTGTCGCATGTCAGGCTCAGAAACTGGCCGGTGCGCCGCTAGTGTCGCGTGTCAGGCTCAGAAAGCTGGCTGGTGCGCCGCTAGTGTCGCATGTCAGACTCAGAAGACTGGTTGGTGCGCCGCTAGTGTCGCGTGTCAGACTCAGAAACTGGCTGGTGAGCCGCCAGTGTGCATGTCAGGCTCAGAAACTGGCCGGTGCGCCGCTAGTGTCGCATGTCACTCAGAAACTGGCCGGTGCGCGCTAGTGTCGCATGTCAGGCTCAGAAACTGGCCGGTGAGCCGCTACCGCTAGTGTCGCGTGTCAGACTCCAGAAGCTGCTGGTGAGCCACCAGTGTGCGTCAGGCTATGATCAGCGTTGCCGCGCCGGTCTGCGTACCATTTCGAGCTTCTTCCACGCCTGGCTCGTCGTTCTACAGGAATGTTTTTACGGTGAGAAGCCCTGCGATATGGCTGGATTGGCAATCCTTCGAAGGGCAGCCCAGTTAACGACAAAGTGACGTCAGAACGGAGCACATGACGTCAGAACTGGCCTCACCCTGGTCGGTGATGCGCTCTGAACCGCTCTGAAAAACCTTATCTCTGCAAGAATCATTGTACATGTTGGTGCTTGTCTTAGAAATAAGTGGAACGATTTTAAAAGAGTCAGGTGGTATGACAGCTCCATAAAATTTGGGAATGGTTACAGAGTGGGTGCAACTATTTGCAACGTCCCCACCACGAGCCACGTCCGAAATCCAAGCAGGTCGGCTGTCACAAACCAGATATTTTTCAGATCCGATACATTCAACGTCATCGTCGTGTCTCATGGAGCAGTATGCTCACTGCACTTCAAAAATAAAAGCAATGCATTTGGACGTAAAATCGCTCTCGTTTGTGGGGACCAAAAATACAGCGCAATTCAAAGCCCCATGGAAACCATCAACGACGACAGGACTTCCCAAACGTCTCCGCACACTGCCCTGCAGGGGAGAGGGCGATCTGTGAGCCACATAGGGTTTCGCTGACTGGAGCAGACCCCAAAACGCGCCATCTGGTGGAGACCAAGCTAGCGGGAAGGTAGTTTCCGGGATTCATCAGTTTCGTTTTCTCGAAGGTAAGACTTTTGCTATCGTTTCCGCCGTCCTCTTACACCAAATTTTTTCAACGATTTTTTTTAAAAAACTTAATCTTAGAGATGTTGGGGTGGAGGTAAATACCCTGAAGACCCTGGGACATGGACATAATATTGCACAATGCGTTTGGGGCCGAGCAGTGAAATACAACAACTTACCATCGAGATAAGCTAATAAACGGGTATTCCCCCCGGATTTTACTTTCTTCTCAATGTTGAGCGAGCTGAAGCCCAAGTTTGGGAGAAGGGAGGGGTGGGGGAGGGGGCAAGAGCCCAAGCTGGTGTCCCTTAAACGAAAAAGACAGCTACAACCCTGTCCTGGAGTGCCATGCAATTCGGTAGTAAAGATTTGCTCGCATTGCTTTTCTACAGGCCCTTTTCACGATATCATCATTTACGAGTAAATTGACACCTTCCGGAATCTTCCTTACGAACAGTTCTTCGGACTCAGAATGCGTCCCGTGTTTGATTCACAAACGTCTCAACTTGAATGACTTATCGTAGGCACGTATTTACTCTTTCGTCACGCATCGAGGTTCGATCGCAGCCAATTGGGCACCGCACAAGCGAGGTTACTTTTAAGTTCCAGTCACTCAGCGGTCAGGTGGATAGTCACTATCTATCTATCTATCCTATGACTATCCACTATCAGGTGGATAGTGGATAGTCACGCTTGCACAGGTGGCCCAAGTTACGGTATGTGATGATATCTGCTCCCTTGTAAACGTTTCCACCATTCGAAATTTATCTGCGCAGTAGGATCCCAAATGGAAGTGCCGAGGATTCGGACACTCACTCTTCACTAGCAATTCGTAGTCATTCTTGGCATACGAATATTATTCTAGTTCATAAATGTCGTTAAAGGAATTGGACGCATCACAAAGTTTCCACACCTCTTTGATTCAAAGTGGTGCAAAGTAGTAATGTTAAAAGGTACATTTGCAACCCTACGACAAGTAGGTCAACAGACATGATCCCTCGCACGTTTCGTTCAGTTAACGGCATCGTAACGTTATGGCTATATGAATTGCGAAATCCGTACGAACGACACTCCACCTGGTACTGTTCTCAGCTCGCGTATTGAAAGAAGCATTTCGCAGTATTGCGGCAAATAGCATGAGCAATCGATCAAAATAAAACGCCGTGCGAGTAAGGAAAGAACGTCAAAACTTTCCCAGCATGAAACCCAACAACTTGATTAAAGGGTCCCGTTCCATCCCAGTGACGTCACAGCCTATGCGTGTCCGCATGGCGAGACATACGCGTTCAAGTTTGTTTCCGGCCACCACCTTGTCCATTTAATATGCAGCTGTAAATGTCGTTATCAATTCGTCAGAGTGATCGAAAAAGATGGAAGCAAAGGCGCATAGGACCTAAAAAGCAAACAAGGGAATACCATGAAACACTTCCAAGCGTCCATCGCTCAGCCTCCAAAACATGAAACCACACCTGGCCGTCCGAGGTGGACGGTAGCGTGAACGTGCTGGAGATGAAGCAGAACGTCTCAATTACGGTGTCCGGGAGCGCATCCTTATCTCCTAAGCAGGAGATCTTGTCGCCGAGGTACTGGGTGGCCGTCACCATCAAGCAGCTGCCCATGACGAAGACGAAGGTCGTGCGATAGTGGAGGCGGAACACGAAGCTGTCACCGCGCGGCTTGTTACGCGAAGCAAACAGCTTCGTCTGTGACGAGAGCGGGCCCAGCACGGACAGCATCGTGGCGGCGAGGCTGGCTCCTGACGAGCTGTTGCTACGTGAGGGAAGGTGCCAAGTTCGGGCAGCTTAGTCAGCAGCAAGTGCAGTCATTCGCCTCAGCAGTGGGACGTTTCCTGTTGGCGGCAAATGCTTCTTGCAACGGTTTGATCTTGTCCGATGTAGCTCCGTATTCAACGCGATATATGCATGCAGTGCCTTCAAGACAGGTCCTGAGCTGGCTGCGATGTCGTGGTCTTCAGGGTCGTTGTTGTCTTGTGCAATAGCGGGGCAAAGCACACCCTCACCAATGCTCCACGTCCACAACCTGAGCGGGCCTTGAGAAACTCTGGCGCACTAGTGCAGGTGTTTCTAGCGCATATAGCGTGGGCTTATCAGCAGCCCCACGCTACGCTTTAGCAAAGTCTGAGTCCTTATCGGGCTCTGCCGGAATGTGGCCGGCCACTCTGAGTCAGAGCGTCCGATGGTAGCTTTGATGGAGGTCCGCGTGACTCGGAGTCGGGGCGTCTGGTGGTAGTTTTGATGGAGGTCCGCGTGACTCGGAGTCGGGACGTCTGGTGGTAGCTTTGATGGAGGTCCGCGTGACTCGGAGTCGGGACGTCTGGTGGTAGCTTTGATGGAGTTCCGTGTGACTCGGAGTCGGGGCATCCGGTGGTAGCTTTGATGGAGGTCCGCGTGACTCGGAGTCGGGGCGTCTGGTGGTAGTTTTGATGGAGGTCCGCGTGACTCGGAGTC